TCATTTGGTACAATTGAGAGAAACCTGCTGTGTTCTCATTTAAGAGCTACATATCAATCAATCAATCATACAATCAAGCTATATTTAATACTGAAAAGCCTTAGGCCTATAGTACAATATATATTAGTATAATAAAGAACAGTTTTATAAATGATATTGGTAATATGTTCTATACAATTATGACGTTCAGACGATGTTCTGTGATTATTCTTTTCTGAGTTTCATAGTGTGACATATAATCATAGGAACATTATAAGTAATATCATGATTGTTACAGTTTGATAAAGAATACAATATATAGATCTATAGATGGATGGACATAATAAAATTCTTTAAGGTACTTTCTATGTAGTTTATCATATAATGGACATACGAGCAAAAAATGGTGTTGATTTTCTAAGACATTAATATTACATGATTTACATAATCTATCTTCTCTTTTTTATCATCCGCATAAATCTACCTTTTACAATCCACAAATGATGTGATGAGCAGCGAAAACGTGCTAAGCTTACTCTATTTTTTTATCATGATACATGATAGATTAATACTCAGTATAAATTCTCCGGTATCGCTGATAATCAGTATTCCTTCAATGGAATATAAACTCGCCATTGCCCGTCATAAATGATAAACAGTATCACTTTTTATAATGTCTCCATTGTTGTTATTATACGCTAGTTGTTGGTTTGCAGAATGCCGAGTTTGAATAAATAATTCGTGAACATTGATTTTCAGTGATCCATTCACATATTTTTCATTTTCACTTTCCTTTGTACGCCCCTTTGAATGCGTTTCGACGAAAATAAATCTGTTATCTCAGTTGTACCATACGTTCTCGAATTATTTCAGGTGGACAACTGACTAGACTTTGCATATGTTTTGACCGGTGAACCTTTTCGCGAACACCTGGTATCATCGCTATCACATAGTGACACATGCTCTGTCATCTTATAGCACGATGACAATCACTGGATTGTCCGGTCCAGACTGAATTTTTTTACAAGCAACATCATGCAGGGATGATGGTATGAATAATAAAAATGAGTCTGCCCAGAGTCGGTCATTTGAGGAGAAGCTTTCTGAGAAACCATTGCATCGTGTGTACATGCAGTGTGTGGAACAGAACAGCAATCCCACCGAACCCTTCGCCTGGACGAAGTCGGCTGGTCTTAAATGTGAAACTGAGGGCTTTCGTTTTGCTGCTCAAGACCAGTAGCTTCCCACTCGCAATCGCCAAACTGTGATTCTTAAAGAAAATATTAATATGAAATGTCGATTGTGCAATGAATTTACAGAGACTGTCCAACACCTTGTCAGTGGATGCCCTTCCTTGGCATAAACAGCATACCTTAAGCGACATGATGACATGGCTCGTTGTTTCAACTATCGTCTTTGCCATGCCTGTGTTTTTTGCTGTGAGGTCCATCCATGGTACGACCCTGACTATGTACAGGGCGTCATGGAAAATGATGCTTTCAAACTTCTGTGGAATAGGCCCATATACAGCCTGAGAAGAATTCCTGATCGTGTTCATTTTGATAAAGCCAATGAATTTATTTATATCATTGAATTTTATGTCCCTTTTGACAGCAACGTAATTGGCAAGATTCAGGAAAAGCATTCTAAATATGCAGACCTCGCCTTTTGAAATGTCTCGCTTGCATCCGAAAGTGAACACTGCTCAGGCGCCCCATTGTTCTCGGTGCTCTGGTTTGGTACTTCTCCTGAACTCTTGGCGCAGATCAGAGAGTGCCCGGGTTCTCCACTGGGAGCACAGCCCTTCTTCTGAGTAATGCAGAAGGCTGCAGTGTTGGGGAGTCTACATATTCTCCGGAAAAACTTGGTGGGTTCGAATAGGGCAGTGTTTCCTGGAGAAAATCCCATTCGCTGTCTGGACTGCGTGTAGAGGGCAAGGGCCTTGAGCTAATGATGAGCCTTTACCAGCCTGACTTTGCCAGGATCACCCGAACCCTCTGATGCATACTATTTTTAATCTGTAAAGCATAATAATAATAAAACCAAATTAAAAACGAACGAAAACAACACCAACATCATACAGCTGTAATACTGCTGAAACAAATATCTGCCTCGCTATTGTCACAATTGTAATAATCGACTCTGCCTTTGGACAGAGATTTCATGAACGTGGAAAGGGTTTTGCCGCTTCTATTTAACACATCATGGTTATTATCTAGTCTTATTGAATAGATATTGAGGAGATACCGTGGAAGAATCTGGTCATAAAATGAATATATAACATTGTCAGTACGTATTTATGAACGTGGAGGTTCCGGCAAACGGTGAATAAATATGATCAATAATAAGGCTGTCGGTGACATGTTTGGTTGAATGTCATCGTGTGTTGGAGACATATCAAAACCTTATTGATTTGCAAGTATGATATGTACGGTAAACAACGTTTGTATATATTTAACGCGAACTGACGTACATGTCTATGCAGAAATTGGTTTTGAGTTTAACTAGTTACGGTTGTAACGAAATAAAATAGTGGTCTCTTTCAGTTCGGTATAACCGTTGTCACCTAGTATATTTAGTCAAGAACTACATATGTAAGTAAGAATTTATCATTAAACAAGTCAAAGATATTTTTCACAAAAAATGGTACTTTCATGAATAAGGATTAAAAAGTATTCGAAAACACAAAATTTCAGCTACGTTGCTCAAGACAAACACCAAACACCATTCTGCTCTGATTTCATGATAATCAGGTCTAAATACAGAAATCATGATCTAATCCAACCTTATTTCTAACAACCAGTAATTGGTAGCATTATTTACATTTTTGTTAGCTCAAAAATTGTTTCCCTGGATTTGAAACAAACATAAAAGCCTAACTACAGTTTTGATCATTGTGTTCAACTCATTTGCTGTTAAACCCTCAAAATGTTATTGCACAAAAAGCAACAAAGGTCCTCGAAAGAAAAAGCTTTCGTTGTGGATTCAGTCAACGATGTCGTCAGAGCATTTTGCATGACGTGAACTTAAATCATCTCAACGATCAGAACTGTATCTCTTTGTTATCAGTCGGAGAGATACTAAAACTTTCAGGAAAGAACAATGCAACTCTCCACTGTTCACAGTGGAAGCACCAGTTACATCTGTACAAATGCTAAGACTGCGTTTGGAAACAGAAACATACATGCTTGCGCTCTCTGACACACCTATATAGCACTAGGCGTTATAAATTAGTTGAATTAAGGTAAAATAAGTAGAATTGTGTATCGTGATTCTTGTAGGCACACCCACATTCCTTTATTTAAAAATCCAGGACACGTGGGTTTGGAGCAGGGAAATATTCTCACCTGTGGGTCAACTGTCTCCTTCGTAAATAATCTCCCAAATGGCAAACGAGACGACCGAGAAAGTGTTGGAAAGATTATGTCTGAATTATGCAATCAAGGAACCAGATCATCACAGATAAAAAGAAAAGTTTACATATTGAAAGTGGAGATAGAATTGAGCACATATGGGGAGCAGGGAGAAGTACTTATTGTTCACCACTTCAAAAAACAAACAAACAACAACACAGAATAGTAAAACGACCTTTAAAATGGTTCTGGAGCATAGAAATGAATATTTGACAATGTTACATTTTCAGATCAAGCCCAGTGCATTCTTTCTACCACAGAGGTTACTTGTCATATCTTCCTACGAACCTCCTGTTGTTCTAATACGGCCATATTTCCCGGTTCTCGTAAAATCCCCTAGCGGCAAAAGATTGCAAAACGAATTATCTCCTACTTTCTATCCAATCAGAACACGTGTCACATTGACTTAGATTCAACTTGATTAACACAAGCAAATGGGGCCCGTAAATATCCCCATCTGCCGGGGACTTGTGTTGATGTTACACACAATACGTTTAATGGCAAGCTTGTCCGTTGTCAACGAGGTCGATGGAGATGCCACTGATCCGCCATAACAAGACTGAGTTCTGTCTAGAAGAAACGTTTGCGCATCGCGCAGGGGAAAAGGTTTAGTTTTCTCGAAGCATACGGAAATTACCGAGGCCTTGCGAATGATCACTTTTGAAACAACGTCGCTGATTGAACAACTAAATCTGATTGCCTCCTATCACCAGTCTCGAACGCTCACACCATGAAAGGGCCGTATTAGAACAGAGGTTACGTAGGAAGATATGACAGGAGTAACATCTGTGGGAAGAGAATGTGCCCAGTGTGGCTACATTATAAACTGCATATAAAGTTTCACATATACATGAGTATAAATCAAGCATCATCCACTTCAATTTATATCAGTACCAAAACACTCAAAACCCCACCAAAACTACACTGGTAACTGTAGCATATATAAGCAAAAAACACCACAAAGTGGTAACCGTAAGACAGTTTACTGTGACTGAGACAAAAACCAAAACTGAAATTAAGTAATAATTGACTTGCAACCTGAGAGGAATATACGAAAAGATAAATATCAATATTGTAGGAGAGTATGGTCACGATGAATACGTCACCAATCTGAATCTGACATAGTTCTTAATAGTGATTGTTGTGATTTTATAAATCACCACTAGCGACTACATAAGTACCCGAGAACCAGTCCCGCCACCCCTTGATAACATCTGCAAGTCTCTTCCCCATACCAGCAGTCAGCCGTCGATTCTCACCACCGCGACTCCATTGAGCGCTTGCTACAATTCATGCTGATTTTGAACAATAGGGACACTAGCTCGAACACGAAGGTTATTTTTTAGCACTGTCATCTTTTAAATCAGTTCGGAAACCCAAATGTCCTTGGCGTCATAGGAATACTTGAACATATAGCCCATAGCTTTGAGACATAGAGTATAACATGTGTTTTACGTGTACATTCCAATATGCAATGTATGGTCGCTTGCTGTTTTGTTGCTTTAGGTAAGTAGTCTTTGGTGGACAAACATACCTACCAAAAACAGCTGCAGGAAAATAATTCGTCAAAGTGTTTATGATCGTTACTACCAACACTTCTCCTGTCAGGGTCCTGTCCAGCAGGGAAGTTTGGAGATTCTTGTAGCTACAGCTGCCACTGTGGACAGTCCTGTAACCAGACAACTGGAGTTTGTGGAGGTGGATGTGATGAAGGCTGGGTTGGAGGACATGGAATCGCCTGTCAAAAGGGTATGGCGTTTCGATATTTGGATAAAAATAGAAACAGTACTCTAAGAATTGTTACATCTAAACTGGCAAAAAGTGTTTTCATTGTGATTTACAAGTATACCATCGTGTACGTGTTGCTATGACAACACAGATATCGTACCCAGTGCCACGTTGCCAGCGCCTCACATCCCTAGCCCAACATGGACGATTCAGTCGATGCTGACAGTTTCTGTGATAACATCTGCGACATTATCACTCCGCTGTTAATAGACTTACCCTTCAACAGGTATTCCACTGACAACCTCAGTCTCAATCATACATGCACTTGCGATTCAACAAAAGATTCCACTCACCGCAGCATAAAGGCTATACATGGTGTTTTGGCAACATGGATATACTACTAGTATTTGTGACGTTTAAGTCACAACCAAAACACTTTTCAAATTATTTACTGTGGAAAATCACACCAAAGCAGCAGGGATGTATTTTCTTTTTGTACATTGTTGCTTTTCACGATTTCAAAGAACCGATACAACTTTCACGACTGCTCCTATACCCATGCGACCAAAAATTATAGACAGGTTTTATTTGCATGATATAGCGTGGTTGATATTTGAAAAAGTGAATAAGGATAATGGGCATATTAAACTAACATCATGTTTGGAACTGTGGGGTTGTTATGGCCATATGGGTGACATTTGGACGCCGTGTCGGCGTCGAGAGACAACATTCAAAAATCAACAGTATTCAACACATTGTCAAAGGTTTTGCTGATACTGAAAATATGTCAGGTGTACTAAGTTATGAACAGTTGAATATTACAATTACATTTAAAAAACATTATGGATATATTAAAATGAACATACATCTTGTTTTAGGGTGACATTTATTATTATTGGTAGTTGGGTACTTTTGGTGAACATTCGATCATGTGATGTATCTTTTCAAACAGAAAACATTGCCTACATGAAACGTGCCACCACATCTTCTGGGATCTATAGGGATGTCTGGTCTGCAGACAAAGCTGTAGATGGGAACCGGGACCAGGATGTGCACCAGAACTCCTGCTACCACTCTCTTAGCCCTCGAAGTGTGTGGACAGTAGACCTGGGACAGCAGTACAGGATACACGACGTCAAGATATACAACCGGGGTGGATGTATGTATCCTTCTCAATATATCATATTTACATTAGCAAACTGTTAATTAAGTGAAGCAAACAAAACATGATTTAAGTAGCCACCCTGTTCTGTCATCAAAGGATTGACTGATAATACCACCAGTTGAATATGCAAACTCTATGAATTAACATTACGGAATCTGACATGTTTTCATTGAGGAATGAATACGTTGTCACTGGGTCTTAAGACCAGTCTAGTCACGATCTACTGCCCGCAAAATTCCCTCTCCATCAACTGTCAATCTTCCGTCGCCGTTCGGCAAACTCCGCCGGTCGTCGTGGGTGATTGTATTCATCGTTGGAGAATTGGTGACATAGATTTCCAATATCTAACTGTATATTCACACACTTTTATCATGTATGCATTTCATATGTCATAGATCTCATATATATTTACCACCTAATTCATGTATTTACAATGTTTTGTAAATTTCATTTTTAATCCTTTACAGGATGCTCAGCGATTTTAGGGGTATTATCATCTTCCGTAATAGTCCGGGTTTTTCTTATGTTAAGAAACACACTTTTTCTTTACCAGGCCGACTCTAAAGGGCAGGTTGTTCCTCTGACGTATGTGGGTTAAAACCCTTGTCCAAATCTTATGTCGTAACGGCCCACTGTGCTAATGAGTGGTTAGTAAATAGTAATGGGGTAGTTTCTCTCGGATACCGACTTTCGTTGGAGATAATTGTTTTATTGACATTCAAGAAGCTTGTGAGTAAATAATTAAACATATGACTTTATGGATAGCTTTTTGCTTTTAAGGTGTGATATTTAGGCTGATATCAAGCTGAAATAGTTATGGTCAGATGTATCGCAATGATGTAACTAAGCATCGTTTATATTATCCCATAACGCTAGTCAAGAGTTTTATCTTCTGTGAGAGAAATTTCTAGATTACATTATTAAATTCTCAAAAATATATTTATTTGATTGTGACGTTGTGAATTAGTTCCCAAGTGTTCTTGTCATTTCAGCCTGGGGAAATACAAATGATAAAACGTTTTCCTCGTGGTAAAATATTTACCACGAGAAAAACGTTTTATCATGTGTGTTCCACCAGGCTGAAATGACAAGATGCCTATACCCTCCACTGAACCTGAATAGAAACACTGTAATACAATTACAGCACTGTTTTACATTCAGTAACAATGTACATACAGACACCTCCTCAGAAGTTCAAGTCTGGCGTTACAGGATCAAATTCGATGTCTTAGATCACCTCGTTTATCCCTTTTCAACGATGTTCTTGTCACTTGAACAGTTAAATTGTAATCGCTTACAAAAAGTGATGTTTCCTACATCAACACCGTCAACCGTTCACAACGTTGTGCCATCGTATGTCAGTGTTCACCATGCTGCGTGCTGTTACCTTTAGACACTACCCTGTGAATAATTTGTTATAAAAACCATCGTGTGACGAAAACACGATTTAGTCCGTTTTTCATAATTGTTATCAAAATCAGACATGTTCGGTAATAACTATAATGCTAAATTTGTAATGATGATGATTTGCCTAATGATGCAGCTCCACCTTCTAGAATCGTACATCGATAATTATTTCAGATGTTGACTTAATCCGATCCGCTGTCCTCTCTCTGAGTAACTCCAGCAGCTCCACACCTGGCGTACCTTGCTACACCTTCCCCAGCAACACTACAGCAGGCAACTCTGTCTACGATGTCATCTGTGATGGGAGGGGACGATACTTCACCATCACACACTGGACAGACCATCTAAATATCTGTGAAGTGGAGATCTACGGTATGGTATGATTGGTTTGTCTTTATTCACCTTTACAAACCAAATCTATGACAACAGCTCTCTTTCAAATGATCCGTAAATTCTCCCGAGATGATAATTGTTTGTCATTTACTTTTGATAACAATATCTTGAAACAACTGTTGTAGACATAACAAAGGATTTGTTTATCCTTGTGCACAACTTTTCTTCACTCTTTTTATCACCGCAGTGTTGCTCCTTGTGGTTTTTTGGCGTCTTCCTCGTTGTCGTCGGTTCAAGCTAAAACATGAAAGATTTCCTACTAATTTCAAAGATTTACCACCCAGAAACATTCCCCAAGTAACTGAATAAATGTTACCCAGTAAAATAAAGTATCATCGGATTATTTGTGTGTCATAAAATTCATTTCCTTTGGCTTTAGTTGCGACAAACAGACATTACACACACTCGTGTAATGGCACATGTTTAAGTAAAAAACAAAAAGATTAATAGGTTCATGACAAGTTTTAAATTGTTTCTACAAGAATAAAAAAGAAGAAGAACAGACAACAACCGAAATCCCTACTCATTCAAAAACCCCAAACATGAGGATACTGTTCACATGTTACAGTCACATACACACACACACCAAAAAAACAACAAACCAAACAAACAAACAAAGCGTGACACCGTTTTAGGCTAACCCACGTGTGTTCCTAACCTGAACATTTAAGGCTTGATTTAACAGGTTTATGTATATTATGTAACTTTATGTTGCTTACACTACCCATCAAAAGTTTAGACTCACTTAAAGCGCTCACTATATCTTACGTACTGAACCGCAAAGGAAACGCCCACCGATAGAGGTTTCTTAAACCACACTCTTTAATTCGCTCTAATTAACAATCAAAACGGAGGATTGCGTTCAAACTTGACAACTATCATGGTTAACACATTTTCGGGAATCACATTTACAGTTCACACAAACTAATTCACCAAAAATGGCACCACTAAAATATCTCAAAGTCAGTATCGTGTTGGCCTCCATGGGCATCGATGACGGTGTTGCGTCGTCTGTACATGGAATGAATTAGCCGGTTGATGAAGGCCATAGGCACTTTGGTCCGTACTCTGCGAAATGCCTGATCGAGTCCAGCCGGAGATATCGGCCTTGGTTGGAGGTCATTCAGTCTTCTTTGAATCTCGTCCCACAGGGTGTTTTATTGGACTTAAATCCGGACTGAGTACAGTATAGGGTTTGGATGCCATGTTGTCTTAGGAAGTCCAGTGTTGCTCTGGCAGTGTGGGCACGAGCGTTGTCTTGGTGGAAGATATGATTTCTGTGACGTTCAAAATGTGGTACAACTTGGGGTCTTATGACTTGGTCCAAATAGCGAGCAGCTGTCGCGCCATTTCTTCATCCTGGACCGTGATTCTGGAACACCACGGGGCCAACTCTCTGGTTCAGACAGATTGCAACCCACACCATGATGCTTGGACCACCCCGCGAGTCTCTTTCAACAATACACGCCATGGAAAACCATTCCCCATGCCTTTGCCATACTCTCACTCTGCCTGCCATTGGCTGTCGAAACACAATATCGGCTTTCATCAGAAACAAGCACAGTTCTCCATTGTCGATAACGACAATATCGATGCTGAGTTGCCCATTACAGTCGGTCTGTGACAGCAGATGTTTCTTTCGCGCAAATGTCGACGCACTGTATCGGCACTAATGGGTCCCAATGCTCTGGCGAGCTGTTTTCGTGGCTCTGGTGAAGCGATTCTGCAGATGGTTGCGCACAATCTGTCGGTCTTGACATTGTGATGTTACTTCAGGTCTTGGATGCTGTTAGTGATCTGATACCGCTCCTGTGGTCGGTAGATTGTCCTGACATGAATATTGAAATGACTGGCTACCCTCCGTGCAGCCTGGTCAACTGGCAATCGTCTCAAGGCTTGGTTCCTCTCATCTCTCGTAAGTCGTGGTATGGCGATTGTGTCAACACAAGAATGATTTCAGGCAAGTTTGGGACTTGCATTCATTGGTAGGGTTGTCACCATCTGCACGTGCATTTTCATTTTCACGAATGTCATGCGGAACCTTTTACAAAATCTGTCTTTTTAGGTACGTTAGGTCGATATGCTTTATCATCAGAAAACACACACTGATGTTAGTAATAACTGTCAATTTGGATTGAAAAACATGTTAACAAAACGGTACAATCCTAATAAAACAACACCTTGTAAGAACAAAATCTTGCATTTGGTTTTGAAAGTCGCGTTTCTTTTGGGGATCAGTATATATATGGGTACATTGAAGATGAATTTCTCCATTAAGTTGGGGGAACCAACTGCAAACCTTATGCAGATGAATTGCACGAGGATCATTTATCAAATTACTAAAAAGCATGTGCAAATATCGTGCATGTGAACAACTGCGTTTTGGTGTAAAGTTTTGATAAGAATTCGCCAATTAGACATCATACACATACATCATAACGGTCAACTCGTGCAAAAACAAAATTTAACTTTATTTCATTAACCTGCATTTCCCATCGACAAAAATTTGTCTCCCAATTTTTCGAATTCGCAACAGTGCCATTTGCACTTCTAGATGTCTTCATGTCTACTGAAATGTGGATTGTGAGACATAACTTGCAGTCGAACACCAACTTTGAGTGACCGGGCACTGAGCTGGCGCCTTTTCTAGCGAGCGGGAACCGGACGATATTAATCCAGACATCGACCGGCGCCTGTTCGGGAACCGAACAATTTGGTTTACATCGGAAGGATACAGTCCGGGTATCAGGAGTTGACCGGCTGATTCCAGCCAGATGACCCGTCAGTCACTTGACGATTTTAGCCTTCCAAAATACTTATGATAGCCTGCCATCCTCCTGTTAGTGACTGAAAGGGTATCTTCTGATCATCCTTGATTTTGTGACGACTGCACGAACCGATGTGACACTGATGTGGCAACAATCTGTCGCATGCAGTAACATCGGTGAAACCGACTTTTGAAACATTAGGTAGATAGGTGATCTTGGCATTGAGCTGGGCCTTAACATCTTACTGTAACATGCTTTATCGACCCAAGGACCACTTTCTTCCAAAATACCTTCTGCTTGAGTAATTCCCTGGCCCGTGTTACTGTGTAATTCATGACAAAGAGTACATCAAAGCTGGTCAATATTGTGGTTTATGAAAGTAGTACATGTACATACTGGCTAGTTCGTCCATATAAACACGTAATAGGAACAGTGACAAGTCTCGTGTTAATATGTGTTTGGGTTTGGGTTTTACATGTGCCCAGCATTGGCTGTATTCTTACAGAATGTTCCTCACGGACCTATGGACAAAACTGCAGCAAGCGATGTACTGACAGGAACTGTGCAGGAAACTCACTATGTGATCATGTGACAGGATCATGTGTGCCCGGATGTAAAGTAGGGTGGATGGGTATAGACTGTGTGGAGGGTAAGGGTTTAAAAGCATACCACTTATATGGTAGTCTGAAGGTGCATAGTGACTGTTTCCCATTGTTGAATACACAGTGAAACCACACTGAAATCGTAAGATATTACTTTTCGTTTGCAGAGTGTGATAAAGACCATTACGGTGTCAACTGTAAAGAGACATGTGGCAACAGGAACTGTGCCAGAAATGCATCGTCATGTGACCGGTGGACTGGGTCATGTGACACCGAGTGTCTCCCTGGATGGACTGAAGTCGACTGTACACAAGGTATGATCATAAAACCTACAAATCGCCGAATCAAGATATGCTTGACAGTTGCATATTTGCACACGGCTGTCTTGTTACCTATACCAATGTGTAACATGGTTTTTGACTCTTCATTTAAGCTGGGCCTAAACATCTTCCTGTAACATGCTTTATTATCACAAGGGCCGCTCCAAAATACCTTTGGCTTGTGTAATTCCCTAACCTGTGTTACTGTGTAATTCATGCCAAAGGGTATATCAATGCTGGTCTTTTACAGAATGTTCCTCACGGACCTATGGACAAAACTGCAGCAAGCGATGTATTTACAGGAACTGTGCAGGAAACTCGTCATGTGACCACGTGACAGGATCATGTGTGCCCGGATGTAAAGTAGGGTGGATGGGTACAGACTGTGTGGAGGGTAAGGGTTTAAAGCATACTCACTTATATGGTAGTCTGAAGGTGCATAATGACCCATTGCTGAATACACAGCTTACTGTAATCCCATGTACACCGCTGACAGAAGTTGTCGATGCAGAGGCGGAGTTGAAACTTAGCCATTTTATACTCATTTTTATTATATACTACTTTGTTGAACATGCGTTGATACCACCGTGTCATGAATTGATGAGATTAACTCGTTGCCTCCTGTGCAAGATGATTGAAACCACACTGAAATCGTAAGAATATTACGATGACTTTCGTTTACAGAGTGTGATGAAGACCATTACGGTGTCAACTGTAAAGAGACATGTGGCAACAGGAACTGTGCTAGTAATACATCGTCATGTGACCGGCGGACTGGGTCATGTGACACCGGGTGTCTCCCTGGATGGTTAGAGGAGGACTGTACACAGGGTATATTCATAAAACCTATAAATCGCCGAATCAAGATATGCTTGACAGTTGCATATTTGCACGCGGCGGTCTTGTTACCTATACCAATGCGTAGCATGGTTTTTGACTCTTCATTTAAGGTGGGCCTAAACATCTTCCTGTAACATGCTTTATTATCACAAGGGCCACTCCAAAATACCTTTGGCTTGTGTAATTCCCTAACCTGTGTTACTGTGTAATTCATGCCAAAGGGTATATCAATGCTGGTCTTTTACAGAATGTTCCTCACGGACCTATGGACAAAACTGCAGCAAGCAATGTACTGACAGAAACTGTGCAGGAAACTCGTCATGTGACCACGTGACAGGATCATGTGTGCACGGATGTAAAGCCGGGTGGATGGGTATAGACTGTGTGGAGGGTGAGGGCTTAAAGCACTCTCTGACACATGGTAATCTGAATAAGTGACTTGACCCTGAAGCTGAAGACACGGGTTACTGTGAGCTAACGCGTATTATTGACAGTGGCAACACGAATAGACAAGTACATTCTGTCATTTTGAATATTTTGTTTTAATCATAGTATACTATTTTACCGAATAGGCTTTGATATCTCTGTATCATCAATTAATGAGAACTACCATCCACTGAAACCACACTGAAATGGCAAAATATTACCATGCCTTTCGTTTACAGGGTGTGATGATGACCATTATGGAGTTAACTGTAACGAGGATTGTGGCAACAGGAACTGTGCTACTAAAAAATCGTCATGTGACCCGCTTTGTGGGTTATGTGTCACCGGGTGTCTCCCTGGATGGACAAAGGTGGACTGTGAAGAAGGTACACAATAGCAAGAAGACTATAACAAAATATTCCATTGCGTTGCTTCTTCACATAGATACATTCTACATAGGGTTACAGGTGTAGCATGTCTCCATATCCCCATGTCAATATTTGAAAATTCCATTCTATTTATGGCACTCTCATTTTAGTCTTGAGGAGATGTAACATTGACTGGTGATTGAACCTAAGCTAAAACACAATAGCATGCTTTATTACCACCAGGACTATCTTATTCTAACTTACATGCTTATGTACTTCATTGACCACTGGATCTGATCGTGGGAATTATGAAAGTAGTACATGTACATGCTGTCTAGTTCGTCGATATAAACACGTAACAGGCACAGTGACAAGTCCAGTGTTAATATCAGGGAAGGTTTTACATGTGCCCAGTATTGCCTGTATTTTTTCAGAATGTTCCCGAGGGACCTATGGACAAAACTGCAGCAAGCAATGTAGTGACAGGAATTGTGAAGGGAACTCGTCATGTGATCATGTGACAGGATCATGTGTGCCCGGATGTAAAGAAGGATGGATGGGTATAGACTGTGTGGAGGGTGAGTCCTGAATTAGTTCTTACCTCTTTGAAATGCATCATTGGTACCAATTCTAAACAATGATGCTTTGACATTTATACATGTTGCAGCTTGCGAACCCGATCAATACGGTCCAAACTGTACAAAGACCTGCTCCTCCAGACACTGTAAGGGGAACTCTTCCTGTAACTCAACAGGGGGATGTGAGAATGGGTGTGAGGAAAGGTGGACAGGGACTGACTGCACAGGTAACGGTGTTTGTTAAATTGTATCGTTTATGGTGGTTGGTTTACTGGTGATGCTGACATAAGACGTAACTTCGTGACCAGGTTTACCAGAACGGGGGGTGGTCAGGCTCGCTGACTTGGTTGACACATGTCATCGGTTCCCAATTGCGCAGATCAATGCTCATGCTGTTGATCACTGGATTGTCTGGCCCAGACTCGATTACTTACAGACCGCCGCCATACAGCTGGAATATTGCTGAGTGCGGCCTAAAACTAAACTCAGTACCAGAACGGACACGGTAGTAAACACTATAATATCCCTGAGTAGCCACATGTGAAAGAAGCGTATGGCACGATACAGGTCGCACACGGGTGTTGGACAGGGCACTTAACGATCTTCAGGTTATGATTCTGTCAGCAAAAGATGCCAGTGGATCTTTCAGGCAGTTGATATAATCCACCTTCAATACTAAGTGGAGCATCTTTCCTTGGTAGCATGCGACAGTCAACGGTATGGATCAAACTGCACCAAGAACTGCACCTCCAGACACTGTGCGGGTGATTCATCCTGTAATTCTAAAGGGGACTGTGACAGCGGTTGTAAGGCAGGGTGGATGGAGTCAGACTGTACAGGTATACTCTTTTGTTTTGTGAGGGTCTTCCAGGCAGTGGACAACACTAACAAGAGGCAAGACGTTTCTCTTATAATAGATAATGTATCATGAGTTGTGTCTGTGATAAAATAACCACATAAAAATCCAAACGATCCTCGTTGCTACACATATCACTGATTCCAAATGTCAAAAGCAAAAAAACCCAAAAAACAAAAACAAACAAACAAACAAACAAAAAACAACTTTATGTTAAGTGTGTCACTAATATCACACTCCACGTGTGACCCACACGTGTCCCTCTGTAATTAATTTAGACCGAGAAACGCCAGACTAAAATATCAACGAGAATGTGAAATGTATGCACGGTGTTTAAGGTTTGAATTGATATATTAGTTTTATATAAATATAGTTTCGAAACTCAAAGCCATGTGTAATTACATTACCTGAGGGGCCATTGGGTAGCCCAGTGGTTAAAGCGTTCGCTTGTCACGCCGAAGGCCCGGGTTCGATTCCCCACATGGCTACAATGTGTGAAGCCCAATTCTGCCATGATATTGCTTGAATATTGCTAAAGCGCCGTAAACTCTAACTCACTCACTCTTTAAAGAAAAATTATGAAGAGCACTGAAAATCTCTAATGCAAATCCGCAAGTGAGTCAGAGAAAAGACTCAACTTAGTAACTCTTAAAGGGGACTGTGAAAGCGGTTGTAAGGTATACTCTTTCATTCTGTGAGGGTCTTTCGGACAATGAACTGAACTACGGCCATTGATGGGAAACATGACAGCCGTTATATGAACGAACGCACGTGTGTGTATTTGAATTTTTCAATCTTTGAATTTAGGCCTCACGATTCTGTTAGCTATGTTCTTTGTAATGTCAAATTGACGATAGATATTCACTATTTATTAAGCAATGACATAATAGCACAAGCGGTTTAAGTACTTTACAGGGGCAAGTGGTGGCGAATATAATAAAATCATATTTATGCATTTTTAGTTCTTGAAATAACTTTTTTATTCATTTTAAAAATGTTACTTCATTCAGCCGTGTCTAACGGTCCTCAATATCAATATAAGTAGAATTTCCAAGCATGCTTTCTGCATTTATCCCTATTTCCTGTACGTGTGCTTTTGTTGGTGTTTAAACATGTGGATTTGTTATCGAACTGATACGTATTTGTTGAGTTTTCTTTCATTCATAAATGAAAGCGGAAGTGTTTCAAGAGGCCGTGTCATCTGATCTCCCTGTCTCTATACCAACATATGCTGGAGTGGTGGGCTTTGTGCTGGTTGGCCTTGTGCTGGTTCTCATCTTTGTCTTCATCAGGTTAGTACCATCAATAACACATGGATAATAAATCGTTGTTTAATCTAGTGAGGTAGCCCAATAAAGACGTTATTCATTATGTATGTATACCCTATGGAAAATAATGCTTGAGATACCATTTTCATTGCACAGACGAAGGAAACTCTCGAAAAGGAAGCATGGCGATGCTGAACTGGTCTCAAAGACTGTGCAGAGCTCTCAAGATGAAGGTCGATCAGATGATCATATCCTTGTTTTTTAACGGTTCAGGTTAAAAAAATGAAAACTTTATCTTAACTACAAAAGTAGGTTTAAACCGTGCTCCTAAGTTCATAAATCAAATAATGTGATTTCTATGTAACATCTCTTTTTTAAAAAACAATGCAGGCAATGTCTACATGAATGTTGGACATGATGAAGAGAAGCAGTCAACAACAGCTTCACGGAAGAGGCTAACACAGGTTCAACCTGAAGCCCCACAGGAGGAGGAGAAGGAAGAGCAGGGAGGGGAGGAGGAGGGGGAGCCGGAAGAGGGGGAGAAGAAAGAGGAGCCGGAAGAGGAGGAACAAGAAGAGACCTATGACACAACAACACAACGAGAGGAAGCAGCGGAAATCCCTGACAGAAACTACTACAACCTAGAGGAGGCTGGCATTGGTCGTGTGATCCCTGTTTCTACATTACAAGCAAGAGCTCGTGAATTTGAAGAAACACCTGAACTTGCAGAAGATGAATTTAAGGTTATATTTCTTATTAACGTCAAATACAAATTTACTATAAAAATTGAAACATGAAAATGACGAATTACAATCAATTCTTCTTTCACAGCGTCTACCGGATGGCTTCATTCATCCTTATGTGGACTCACAGATGCCAAAGAACAGCGGGAAGAACAGATTCAAAGGATATTACCCATGTAAGCTGGATCGAAACGAGTTTGTTGCTGTTTTTTAACTGTTCATACGTAGACTGTAAATCGATATGAAGTTTATGCTTATGGTCAATACTCTGCATCCACAGATGACTACAACCGTGTTTTGCTACAGGATGGCGCTGGTGGGGGAGATTACATCAACGCCAGCTACGTGGATGTGAGTTAAACGAAGCAAAACATAATTGATATTCAGTGTTGAAAAGTATAATGTATCAGTTATATCTGAAGAGGAGTAAATTAGTCAACGTATGGTGATAGTGGGAGAGTAAATTGGGTTTAAACCTGTTTGGTCGTGATTTTAAGGTAGTCTAAAACTGAAGATTAGGTACCTCTTGAGTTTTGTATGTGAACCGGATGCAAAAGCGATCCAAGTGTATTACATGTCTGATTTTGTCATGGCAACTGCTTTAAGTATTAGTATACATTTCGGACCAAAATTAGTTCAAGGGTAACAGGGAAACTTTCCAAATTAGTCATGTGCTTCACCATCCATGGCCATATTTTTTCATTCAGGGCTACAAGAAGGACAAGCGCTATATAGCAGCACAAGGTAACCCCTACATTCTTGCAACCTTGCAATGATCAGCACTATGCTAATAATGTACTGCAATGTGAATTTACTTCGCTGTCAATGTACAGCACTGTCAATCTACGGAATTATCAAAGACGCCGATGTCAATGCACTGCTCTCTCAGCATATTGCTGTCAATATATCATATCATGTCAATGTACTGTTATGTCAATTTACCGCACAGTCATTGTAATATCATGTCAATGTACTGTCATGTCAATGTACTTTCATGTCAGTGTACTGTCATGTCAATGCACCGCGCTGTCAATGCGCCGCACTGTCAATGTACTGTCAAGTCAATGTACTGTCATGTCAATGCACCGTGCTGTCAATGCACTGCACTGTCAATGTACTGTCATGTCAATGTAAGACACTGTCACTGAAACGCCCTGTTGATGAACAGTGGAATGAGCTGGAATATTACCGAGTGTGGCGTTAAACAACAAACAAACTTATTATAGATAAAAGAAACCTTGTTTTAAAAGACAAATGGCGATTTTCAGAACGCTTCAAATTTGAATTTTGGAAACGAAACTTGAGGTACTGATCGTTCAATCGCTTAGTATTTCAATAAATACCTTCAGTGTGAATATTTTGTACAAATCACTTTTAACATCAAGCAATTTTACCTTCTGAAAACTAATGTATTCTCCAGGTCCCTACAACAATCAAGTGGTAGTCGACTTCTGGAGAATGGTCTGGGAGAAGGAATGCAGAACTGTTGTCATGGTAACCGGGCTCGTTGAGGCGGGCAAGGTAACTATATTTGGTGACATTGTATAAATGTTAGAAGGACCCGACCGTTATGCACTGGTATACATAATGTAAGTGCTAAACCAACGAAAGGTAGGACTGTTATTTTGTCTTTCTGTTTTAGGTGAAGTGTCTTCGATACTGGCCTGAGAAAGGCACCAAAAAGTATGGAGATGTTATGGTTACAATGGTATCGGAAACACGGCTATCGAACTACACATTTACAAACCTGTCTGTGGAGAATGCAAAGGTGATATACCGCGTTTATTCACACATGCAAAAACATACATCCATAGCTATCCGTGGGTTTTGGTCAGTTGTGCTACAGTAATGAACACTCGTTCAGTCGTGTGTCATGAAAATATTTGTTATGACCAGGAAAGGAAGAAATGGGACGTCAATCACCTCCACTTCACCAGCTGGCCAGACCATGGTGTGCCGGACGCTGCTGCCCTGCTGGACTTCATGTGGAGGGTCAAGGTCATATCTGGACAACAAACTCAGCCGATCATAGTCCACTGCAGGCATACTACCACTTTTTCATCTTTTGAACTTTTAGAACGAATCCAAGAAAAATTTGCCTGAACTGAGAAGCGACGATATGGATAATCATTTTTAGACCGCCACCAAATCGATGAACCATTGCTGAGTCCATCGTTAAACATTTGTACAAGAACATCTTTCCATCTACAGTATAGTCTGTATATTTCAGTTTCTCATTAGTTTTTCTCTTCATGTAAAACTTGGTCATGAAGAGGAGAAATTCTCAGCTAAAGTTTATACAAACGTTCAATTACATTGCTTTCAGAAACATGATTGTCAACGTGAAACAGATAAATATTTCATGAAAGTGTTTACTTACTTTTCCCCTCAGTGCTGGAATAGGGAGAACAGGAACGTACATCGCAGTCGAGAATCTCGTGGAGCAGGCAAAGGCAGAGGACGTTGTGGACGTCGTCAGCTTCGTCTCCAACATGAGAGGGCAGAGGAAGAACATGATACAGACAAAGGTATTTCAGATTGGTAAACTCACAGAGCATTGTGCAAATACATTCGGCAGTGCTAAAATTGTTCATGAACAGTGTAGTTCCAGTGGATATGTCTTGTGTATGCCTGTGTGTCTTTGTGTGTGTGCAGGAGCAGTACATGTTCGTGTACCAGGCGGTGGCGAGGGCGGTGACAGACGGTGACACGTCAGTGGACGTTGACGACATCAGACAGATGGATCTTGGCTGCGTGTCTGATATCACCTTTGGGAACAGGACTGTGCGACAGCATCTTGAGGTGTGTATGTTGATATTAACAGATGTGGAATGGGGAGGGAGCGTGAGTGAGTGAGTTACGTCACCTCGACAATACTGCAGCCATATAGTGACAGAGAGAATGGTGCATGTTGTGAATGATCAGGAAAACTATAGCACTATCACCATTATTTTACATTTTCGGTGTAAATGAGTTTAGTTTTACGCCGCTTTTGGCAATATTACGGCAGTATCATCGCGAGGGTCACGAGAAATAGGGTTCACACATTTTACTCATGTGGAGAATCGAACCCAGGTCTTCGGTGTGACGAGCTAACGCTTTAACCACTAGGATACCCCACCGTCCCTGCATTTTCGGAAATGCATTGTCGGATATATCATGGCAAAATACAAAACTGCCCAAGCAAACTGTTGATCTTTCTGCGTCTAGTGTTCAAACGTTTGGAGTTGTTGTAGAAGCTGCTTTCAAAATATACGTTTATCTCATCAAGTCACCCTGACAAAATGGGTGCTTTCATGACTGACGTAAAAATGTATCAATTTGTAAAAAAAAGACAAATGTTCTGCTCATTACCTGTTTTCTTACTGAGTATGTGTATTTTGAAAATGTGTGGTGCAATAAGGTCAGATTAAATCTTTCAAAGCATACGGTGCTTGTGTCTGCTCGAATGAAATCTTGATTATATATTTTCAACAATGCATTGTGTTTCATCACTGGATGTATGATAATTGTTAATTTATTACAGGCGTTGCAGAATGTACAGCGAGGTGAGTACATGTCAGAACAATGATCGCTATTGTTTATTGGCTTCCTTACGGGACCACAGAGCACCTCCAACTCATTAATCATAAGAACTATCTGAAGAAAGCATACGGATTATGCAATTCCTTAAAACTGGTGGGTAAATCAGCAGAGTCATGTGGACTGATGTATATGTCAACATTGCCCTGTTTTCCGTACTGTTATAAATCGATGTCACTCTGTGTCGGCCCGTTGATATATACTCTGATCTGTGGGTAGTAGGTAGATACATAATAATCCCATCAATCACAAACTGGGATATGTTACTTTGTCTTCATCATTAGTTATTAAAAATCAAGATATCTAAGGTTTTCTGTTCATTTTTAGGAAACCCAGAGAGTTTCGGCGTCAGAAGCGTTCACGTGAGTGGGAAGTTGATCGCTTTAAATGTATATTTATATGTTGAGTTAGGTTTATTTTCATATGTCTCAGTTGACAAATTCCTAATGTTGAATAATATACACATAAAAGGAGGAATAAATTCATTATTAGTTTTCCTATTCTTTTCCTACAGTCTTACACAAAGAGCAATGGCTTCTTCATAATGACGTCACATCCGGACAAAGAGGAAGTGTGGAATCAGGTTTACAACAGTGACTCAAACAGCCTGATAACATTTGCTGTCGGTGATCTGGTTGGTTTTACTCTCTGAAACCAGCTTAGCTAAACATTTCAGATGAGAACAAGTTGGATTAATGTTATTGAATAATGTCACTGTTACATCACTGTTTTTCAGATGTAAATAATAAAGGATACAGCTTAATGGATAACAACGTTTATTGCACAGAGCGACGTTTCGGTGTAGGTTTTTCAAGCAATTTCGTCGCTCTGTGCAATAAACAAGTAGTTGTTATCCCTAAACTTGTATGCTTTATTATTTACTTCATTAACTTCTAGAATGCCGATCAAACAATTAGTTTCAGAAGTAGTTATTTGGGTATCTCGATGAACTGTGTCGCATAGCAACAGGAAAAACTTTAACGTTAACTTGTATAATTGTATTTTGGGTGAATTAAAACAGTTAGTCCGAAAATGCATCAGGAACCAAATCAAATGCATGGTCAAAAATTTCAATAGCTCGACATATTTATCCTGTTTTTAGAGATATCTACCATCCGTTGATCATCCCATTACAACCAAGAGCTTTGCAGTGAGCATGCGCAGGTCAGCAGCCTTGTCCAATGGCATTCTGATGAATACAATTGACATCAATTTACTGGTAAGTGTGTGAAAAGATATTAAGTTGTGTAAGTTACATGATTTGATCATGGATTATTCGTTGGTACTAAAACTTTATTAAGTGAATACTTAGGTTTTTCCACTGAACAAGTCCGGGTGATCATTATTCCAGGACTGTGACGATACCACCTGCATACAGCACTATCACATCGCAGGAAGTGTACGGGACCCGAATATCAACTTGATGATTGACAGTTTCCTTACATGGACCAGTGATCCACAGCGAAGTTCAAGCACTGTTATCTCTGAGTAAGTGCATCTGCTCCAATCTCCCGTTAAAAACGACAAAATATTATCCCTTTTATGTTTACAAATATATACTGAAAGGCAAAAGCAACGTCGTAATATTGGAAATGACATTTAAGTATCAATGGAATATCTGAACCTATTATTTTGAAAATATACGCCACTGAAATGCAATACCGACTTTCATCAGAGAAGATAACCCCCTATCCATTGTCTCCCACGCCAGTTTTGCCGCTGTTGTGCCCACTGGAGACGTTCTCGGCGATGACGTCTCCTGGCAGGACGTGGAAAAAACAGGTTCCTGGCTCGAAGACGTCACTCAATGGTTCGGTCACTGTCTGGTCACTGGTGGTTTCCTATGGTCACCCGAGCTGTTTGTGTGGCCCCTTGCGAATCGGTCTTGCACGTGTTGATGGACGATATGACGGTCCTGGCGACGTGTTGTTACACGGATTTGACCACTACGTGGACGGTCATCAGTGCTGTTAGTGGCGTTGTATCGCTCTCTAAGACCTTCTATCGTTCCTTCTCTGCAATTGAAGTCATTAGCAATGACTCGAGCACGTTGACCAGCATGTAGACGTCCAATGGCTTGTTGTCGTTGATCTCTCGTTAACCTAGCCATAGCTGCTGTGTTAAGAAAACAAGTGACTGATTGTCATTCAAGCCGGCAATTTATGCCTGAATGCATGCATGATGCACGTGCATCTCGATTTCAATGTTGTGTTTGTGCGAACTCTTCCCTCTCCATAGACAAAAATATTTCTATCCTCAATCTCAAACAATACTTTACTGGGCAAAACGGGCTATACGACCACGATTCATGTTTCCTCAAACTTGACTTAATGTGTATATGTAAAAAATACTAGGTTCAAATACTCCATTGATACTCAAATGTTATTTCCAATATTACGACGTTCAGTATAAATAAAGATGTATGTGGTTAAATTGCCTAACTTTATCAAATATGTATTTGATTATTGAAAAATTGTATGTAAAAAAACATTGGTGCAAATAAACGTGTGAAAGTGGAGAAGCTATTCTTGCACTTGGATAACGTAATGTCATCATGATTGGTCGTGAAACTTCTTACCGCTGTTCAGTTTAAATAGGCAGCACTGAAAGCACATCCAGATGCACCCAGTACAAATGTCCACAGAGTCGTGTTTGTCCTAAGAAGTGTTTTCTTGGCCCAGTTCTTTGACTGACTGTCGTCTTCTGGTGCTCTTGGCGAACATTGCCAGCAGACTGCAAGACGACGGTAGAGTGGACGTCATCAACAGCATGCGACAGCTCTACACACGTCTTGGAGGTCCGCCATTTACTGAGGTAGCTAATGCCCCAGTACAAACAGTGCACGCCTGTCTACAAAGTTCACTCATTAACATGTGTAGATAGTAGAATGTGTGATGTTTTCTGGGACAGAAATTGTCCTTCATTATCTAGCTTGTCCTGGATGCAGTTATATTTTCATTATGTCCAAAACATGTATTAGGTTTGATTCAACTGCTTAAACGTAAATGTAAAAATATAATTACATTAGCATAGTTTATGCAAGTGGATTACTTAAAATTGTCATTACGTCAGTATATGTTTTTAACGATTCCATCGGTGCAGAATACATATAACCCAAATCAAATTATCACAGATGGTATTGTTAGTAAGTTGGTCATTGTGACAGCACGCTGTACAACAAAAACTTCAAGTACAACATCGAGGTAAAATCGGTTAACGACTTCAAAACGCAAAAAAATTGTCACTGAGCAGTAGTCATCAATCAAAGTTGTGTCGAATAGGCACTTGAATACATTCATTGATAGCTGCAGAAATGAGGCAATTGAACCACATGACCAATACGAAAATCTAGAGGAAAAAAGTGACAACGTGATTGTTTACGTACATATATGTCTCGGGCTTTTAAACGTTATAGAGTCCCAGGATTATCGTTATCCGGAGTAATGGCTGGGAAAACTGGAATACGATCTCCGTCACAGGCTTATGAAAGTCTGTTTCGGGGTCCTGTCTAATTAAGAACTGATTGTTAGTGGTACCTTTACTATGAATCCGATTAAGAAAGTATTTTAAGTAGAAACGGGACACCACAGAATCAGTGGTGATGAAGAGGGTAGTACTAACCACCTTATTACCTTCCATGAATGTAACTTTCCATGATTTCAGGCTGACGTTTCGTTCTGTCTAGAGTCTGTCCAGCGGCAGCTGGAGTCAAGCAATGTTTACGTCATCTTCTGACAGCTTCCAGAAGGAAACAACACATTATATGACATTACAATTCCACCCCGACATACATGTCTGTGAAGAAAGCAAAGAAATATGACCAATTCATATCCCATATACATCATTCTTGATTAAGCTGGATGTAAATCGTTCACAACAAGCATATTCATACATCCTGAACTTGGGAAGAACACAACTGCTTCCCCACCATCAGACTTAATATTTGAAACCATCAGACCAACATATAACTAACAAAAGCAGGATGCGGTAAATGAAGGAAAACTGATTTCTATGGATAGTCAACTTCTTTATTGCAATGAGTGCGACGTTTCGGTGTAGGTACTAACACCGTTATCAAGCAAGTGATACAACAACTGAGGCAAGGAGAATATATATATAGCTGTATAGTAAGTATATACAATTAACAAGGTTGATGTACATTGGGTATTTGATAAGTGATTACAGCATAGGAGGTTGATGTACAGAGTGATTGGTTGTGATTAGAATAAAGTTTATACAGTTGATGAGTTGAGGTACAATAGTTGTGATTACAAGCACAAAGGAGGGAGCATGGAAGCCCGATGGACAAAGGAGGTAGGGGGGGATTACTGGTGGTGGTGTTTGATTAGGTGGTGATAGGCTGACGAGATGAAATAACCTTGATCTCGATTCATGGTGGGGTTGTGGCGTTGGATGTTTATGGCTTCAAGGAGTTTCCTATTTTGTAGTCTTGTCTGTTGATTTCTAGGATATCGATGTTGTTCCATAGGATGGCATGGTCAGGGTTGGCTTGGGTGTGGTCAGCTATGGCGGATTTGGAGTCGTTTTTCTGGACTGAGGCTTTGTGTTCCTTGATTCGTAGTGGGAAGCGGGCGGGATGTTTCACCAATATAGAAGTCTCCACATTGACAACGAACCTGGTAGACTACTCCCGAGGGGTCATCTTTTGTTGTTGACGGTGGTTTGCCTGTGGCTTGGAGGAGGTTCTGGATGGATTTGCCTTTTTGGAACAGGACGTCTATGCTTGCTTGGTGCTGAAGGAGTCGTCTTATTTGGTGGCTGACTGCTGGGACATACGGGATACTTATTACAAAGGGTGCTGATTGCCGGCGGGGTGGTTTATCTCTTGGGTTGAGGGTGGTTGTGATGATATTGTTGACTAGCATACTCCGCCTAATGGACAAGACATGGCGGATGTGGTTAAGTTCCTTCAGGGCGTCAGTTGTGGAGCAGATGTTCTCGACTGACCCATAATCAGTTCCTGCATCCTCAACCTACTTCACCTGGTCAGATAAGATTTACCAGACAAACCCATGGGCTACCTACTTTACCTGGGTTCTCCAAACCCATGGGCTACCATGGGTTCTCCTCCCCCTATCATCATACATGACGGAACTAGAAGACAAGGCCCTGCTGACATCACCCATTGCACCAATTTGCTGGTATAGAAAAGTAGATGACACCTTTGTTGTTCTCAACCCCAACGACAACCCTGAACACCTCCTCAACCACCTGAATTCTCAACATCCCCGTATGCAGTTCACAATGGAAGAAGAATCTGACAACAAGCTCCCTTTCCTCGACGTCCTAGTAAAGAAAGAAGACAACAAGCTCTCCACTACTGTCTACAGGAAACCCACCCATACCGACCAATACCTTCACTTTACCTCCAACCACCCGCTACAGGTTAAGAAAGGCATCATATCCACTCTCACCCGGAGAGCTAAGAACATCTGCTCCACAACGGAAGCCCTAGAAGCGGAACTTAACCACACCCGCCATGTCTTCGTCCATTATAACCAGTACCCCCAGAAACTAGTCAACAATATCATCACAACCACCCTCAACCCAAGAGATAAACCACCCCGCCGGCAATCAGCACCCTTTGTAATAAGTATCCCGTATGTCCCAGCAGTCAGCCACCAAATAAGACGACTCCTTCAGCACCAAGCAAGCATAGACGTCCTGTTCCAAAAAGGCAAATCCATCCAGAACCTCCTCCAAGCCACAGGCAAACCACCGTCAACAACAAAAGATGACCCCTCGGGAGTAGTCTACCAGGTTCGTTGTCAATGTGGAGACTTCTATATTGGTGAAACATCCCGCCCGCTTCCACTACGAATCAAGGAACATAAAGCCTCAGTCCAGAAAAACGACTCCAAATCCGCCATAGCTGACCACACCCAAGCCAACCCTGACCATGCCATCCTATGGAACAACATCGATATCCTAGAAATCAACAGACAAGACTACAAAATCAGGAAACTCCTTGAAGCCATAAACATCCAACGCCACAACCCCACCATGAATCGAGATCAAGGTTATTTCATCTCGTCAGCCTATCACCACCTAATCAAACACCACCACCAGTAATCCTCCCCTACCTCCTTTGTCCATCGGGCTTCCATGCTCCCTCCTTTGTGCTTGTAATCACAACTATTGTACCTCAACTCATCAATTGTATAAACTTTATTCTAATCACAACCAATCACTCTGTACATCAACCTCCTATGCTGTAATCACTTATCAAATACCCAATGTACATCAACCTTGTTAATTGTATATACTTACTATACAGCTATATATATATTCTCCGTGCCTCAGTTGTTGTATCACTTGCTTGATAACGGTGTTAGTACCTACACCGAAACGTCGCACTCATTGCAATAAAGAAGTTGACTATCCATAGAAATCAGTTTTCCTTTATACTGTAGGGAACCGATTTCAAACTGTGTGAGAAATATTACTGGAACATATTTCATGTGTGTGAACGGCTCCCTTGGCTTAGCTACGAATTCGCAGTGCCTTTTTGAGATTTGTTGTACATTTGGAATTTCTCAGTAATTTACACTTGTCAGACTTTTGTGGATGATTCGTTGGCTGAGTGGGTAAGATCGCTGACTTTGTGACTCAACCCGAAAAGTAATACTGTAATTATTTTACTGTGAAAGTGCGTTCCAAATTTAACATGTTACAATTGGTCACTTTCTGAAAGGCATTGTGAGTTAATAAATTTGCATATTCTGCTGTTACATACTTGAAAAGTATGTTATGGTAAGTTTAATGTGCCACGTTCCACTCAGCCAGTATTGTCTCACACACCTGTATCCGAAAACTCGCCTGACCAATTCCAAAGATATGGAAATAATGTACACAAGCGTTGTTTGACTGACCAGATTAACTTCATGTCCCTTCTAGGCCTTCGACTGATAAGATTATAATTCTTATTGCAGATGTGTGAAAAACTTGAACATACCTCTTTACCATAGTGGTTAGGGACACTTATATAACATGTTCAGTTTTACTTTGGCCATAATGACTCACGAGAAAGAAACAGTTTGACGTTAAATTGTTAGATACGTGGGATGATAATTGCTGAATGATTTATTGTGTGAAACCCATGCCACCAAGAAAATCAAACCTTGCAATGAGGGAATGCGTTGCGGTTGGATGACCTTGTAGCTGTGAAACTGTAGCCTTATTGTTCATTTCATATCCATGTTTTTGTTTGTTTATTTTATTTGTCATTATATGTAATTTTGTTAATATGTATATCTTTGTAATTTTTCATAACGTTTTACATAATGCGCTTTGTACCAGATGATATTTAAGACTTTAATTTCTGCACTTCAACGTCAAACATGATCACCTACACAGAAAATTAATTAAGCACCGCAATGACCGTCGTCACTGTTCAATGTAACACACTGAACTGATACTATTCGCTGTCGAGAAGTATCAGAAAAACTACTTATGATTGTATTCTTTAGCATATTACTTAAAAATAGAAATGCATTCGGATTTAGGGGGAGAACGAAACGTGTTTATTGCGATCGATTGTCTCAGGAACCAAGGATTGAACGAATTTGTCTTGTAACACGTTTCTGAATAAACTGCAATGATGCAATGCTCGTAAATGTCTTATATCCCTCAAACATGAAAATACATTCACTTCGTAAGAGACAAAAAGTAACTCATCTGGGATTTGTAACCATTATATTCATTATGCTTCCATATACAATATCATTTTCATGGCTGATATCTATCTCAAAGAAAAGAAATGGCGCTCTGTTTAACATTGAGATAACGTTCAACTTCAGACTGACACTTCACACCTCCAGGCGTCGATTTACGGCATGTGAGTGTGGTTACACGTCGCTTTTACAAAATTCCAGCAATATCACGGCGGGGGGACTTCAGAAATGGACTTCACACATTGTTCCCATGTGGGGAATCGAACCCGGACCTTCAGTTGAAAAGTGTGCGTTTTGACACTTTCACTGAACATAAAGGATCGTTCTATCTTAAATCGGTAACTCCAGTTCTGATATCAAGCATATCTTGCGTCTTTCCATAAGTAACAATGCGTTTCTGTTTCCGGAGAGTAAAGTTATGAAAGTGTCATTGAAATACAGCAGGATATAAAACGTCAGCACAAAAAAATACCCAGTCTTGTAAAAGGCAAAATAACTCTGAAATTCATAGAAATGAACCATTGAAAATCAGTGTCCCCAGGTGTCTGTCAAAGGAGAAGCATGTCTTACTCTACCAGTAACAACCGCCGTTCACACAGTTTGCTTGAAACACAAGTACATGTATGTTAAAGCACACAGCAGTACTCCAGCCACGCAACGGTGGCCTGTGAGCAAACCAGACAATCGAATAAACCAGACAATCAAGTGATTGATGAATCAGAAAACCCAGCTGTAAATTTTGAATTACAAATACGGTGCAGGCGTTCAGAGATTCGACTGCTTACAAGCAAAGTAAAACAATTTGAAAATAGACTCGTTTTACAACACAGAGGAGGTCAGCTTTAAGGTATAAGAATACCCAGTCTTGACAATCCTTAGAAACAGATATGAGTCGCGTGCATTAGTGAGCGAGTTTAGTTTTACACCGCTTTTAGCAATATTCCAGCAATATCTCGGGGGACACCAGAAATGGGCTTCACACATTGTGCCCTTGTGGGGAATCGAACCCGGGCCTTCGGCGAGACGAGCGAACGCTTTGTGCACTAGGCTACCCCACCGCCCCGCGTGTATTAGAGATATAATTAGATGGTAGGGCTTGCTGTTATGATCAATCAATATCTGAAAATGCGTGACTACGGAATCTGCATGTCGCCAGAGACATCCAGTTATCAGTTTCCTCATAGAAGAAACTTGCAAACCCTGATTTACCTGTACATGTCAACTATGTAGTATTAATGACGTGTTGTTTTCCCAGTGTCATATATAATCACGTTACTTGCACCTAAATTGTCAAAT